TAAAAATAAATAATGGAGGCTTGGATATTATTGCATATCAATTCTTTCCTTTAACAATAAATCCAATTTAACTTTTTTCCCCTCTATATCTTTCACCACAAAGGGTCTTGTAGGATCAATGTTGATTGTTGATTACCGTATTCAACCATGAACCTGGCATGTAAGAGTTGGCAAGCACTCAATTAAATAAATAAACAGACCTGATATTGAGTACAATTGAAGCAATGCCAACAGCAGCTCTCTCCTTCGACGTACTTCTTGGCCTGCCCTTGTTCGCAGGGGAGAGAACATACGGACTCAGGCCCTCTTTTCTCTGTCATTTTGAACTGCACCTCTGAAAAATAATAAATAGAAAACAATTTGTCATTACTTTTTTTTTTTTAGAGTTCTCACTCAATCTCCACTGGTTTTAGAACCAGTGATGCAGTTGAGAGAGTAGCAGAGCACATTTATCTATTGTCTCTATGTTTTGATTATTATTTAATTGTCATTTTGTTTCTGTTGATTTTATATTTTCTGTTTATATAGTGTGAATACAGTCTTACCTCATCATAACCATTGTCCATGTGACAAAATGTTGTATTACTCAATAAATAAATTTAAAAAAAAACTTTTAGAAATGTTTTGAATATTCTATTAGCTTAAATTTATATTTTTTGTATTCTTGGTTCTATAACAAACTTCTGTATTTTCATTGTCCGGAGGACAGCTTTCATAGGGACTAGAAAATCTTCATTATCAGTTCTTTTCTGTTGTTTCAATACTTTTTTTTTTATTTATTCATATTTACGGACTGTATTAAATAACTGTATTATAATAACTGTATTAAATTAAAAATAGAACCAGCAAATGTGCACATAGTAATAATACAATCACATGAAAACGCTTGTTGAGAAACTACCCATTGGTAACACTCTAATAATATATTTACATAGGTAGATCACGAGGCCAACTTCTTTTCAGACACCTTGGAGGGTTATCAGTTATCGAAGAGGAAGCAAGTTTGAAACATGAGGGTTCAGTTGGTTTTAAAGTTTTTTATGGAAGGATAATTATCTGAATTGGCTAATTGGGAAACATATGGTACATTAAGGTCGTAATGAATGATTTTATTTGTAACAAAGTAAGGAGCATTGGTTTCAATGCTTAGTTCTATTTATAAAGCACTATCTAACTCATTCCTTCCAGGTATCAGAGATCACTGTCACTCTTTAACTTTGTCCTATTATTTCATCTTTTCAAGAAAATTGATTAATTCTGTCATCCTTCATTAAATATTTTTGATCATAGTATTGCACATTGTTTGAAGCATAGGCTTGTTCAGGATCAGTGACATAACTAACCAAGTGCTGGAACATGTTCTTTCAACCAAAAATATGTTCTAAAAATAATAATAGCACCCATATCCATTGCTTTTCTCTGTGTTTCTATCTTGTTAATTTTTTAGGTACATATTTTTTTTCCTTTCTGCTCTACCTGCTGAGAGTTATGCCAATAATCAGGCTGCAATCTTGTTTGATTTTTTTTATCCATTTTCCTCAAGAATCTCATTTATGAAGCTTGTATTCTAGTTCTATGTTTCTTAGTTACTGAGCCCGATTTGGAGAAGAAGGTTTATTGGGAGGAAAGTGAATTTCTGGACCTTTAATTTTTCTCTTTAGAAATTTTTCTTTTATTCAGAAAATATCTTTCAAGTTGAGCTCACTTTCTTTTCAATAGTTCTATTTTTGTCCAAGAAGCTCTGGGATATTTAAAGCTTTTAACCTATTTTAAAGTTAAAAAAATATTCAAACATCCACTAATGAGCATTACCTTTGTTGTTGATTTGAAATTGGCCTGAACCTCTTAAGGTAATATAAATAAAAATATTAATATTTGGGATTTAATAGGTTACCTAAAACAAATTAATTTTTTCACTCAAGAGAATAATGAATTGTTTGTAATGATAATAATGAGATTCGTCTTGGGAACCCATAGGTGCTTCCATTTTCACAATTGGCAAGCCCAATTAAAGATTCTCTATCCTTTTTTCTAATCACAATATTTCTTAGGTGATCCAATCCTTTTGAAGCAAAATGCCTCCTTATGCTATCAATCTGTCCACTCCATGTTCATATGTCCACTTTTTGAACACAAGATCCCAACCCACAGAACTGTTTTATTCAAAAAATCCATCTCTGTGATACCTCATTTTGGAATTTTCTACTCGTCTCCATTCATAAAATCTTATCTCTATGTTCTTTTAATCACCAATTGATTTTCCATCCTCTAAACATACCTAAATCTATATGTTAAAACTATTTATATTTCTACATATATATGTTTAATTTTACTATTTTAATTTATTTACTTATAGTTTTTCTTTTTTTTTCTTAATTTTATAATTTATCATACAGAAGGCAGAAAATGGTTTTGGAATTGTACATCTGCATTATTATTATATAGGTTAGAATAAAATTGACTTTCAATCATTCATTACCTGACATGTTAAGCTTGAGCTCTCCTTCGATGTATTGGCCTACTTGTACCCATTGGTACTCTCCTTTTCTGACTTGTTTGAAGTGAACAATATTATATCTGGCTGGGCCATCACCGTTCGGGTCAAATTTGAATTTATCTCCGGATAAACCTGGATATAAAAAATGAAGGTTATTAAAAAAAATTATAATAATAGAAATTAAAGTTGTCTTAAAAAGTCAATTAAAATGAAGGAAAAATATCCCTCACTTATCAATAGACGAGGCATTTTATTCCACCATGACAATCCGAGACCCCATGTTACAAAAAAATTTTTGCAAAAATTGAAGGATTTCGCATTTGAAATTATTCCTCAACCACCATATTCTCCTGAATTAGCTCCTTTGGATTACCATTTTTTTCGCAGTCTCCAAAACCCATTAAGCAGCTAGAACATTTATTCAGTTGATGAAGTGAAAAACTAGGAGTTGACTTTCTTTAATTAAAAATCCAATATTTTTAGAAAGGGTGTACTAAATTTATTTTTAAGATGACTAACTGTTATAAAACAAGATGGTAAATACATTTTAGATTGAACATGTTTCATTAATTTTATTCATCCCTTTATATCATGCAATTTAATACAGACATTAGTTTTTGGATGACCTGATATAAAATAGGCAAGCCAAATAGAACTTTTGAAAATATTTAAAAAACAATTATGTATGTAAACAAGAATGATGTAAATCATACAATTTAATTCTGTAGAATTGAAAAGAAAATATTAACATTCAATTTGAGATATGTGGGGCATGGACAGAAATATAAATTGTATGAGATACAGAGCACTTAATATCATTGCCTGATAAAACTCTGTTTTCTACAGAATCATATTAACTTGAGTATCATGCTTATTAACTCTGACTTTATTCATTCATAAATAATAATTAGCTTTTTGACTTCCCCGACGTCTCATAGAATTATTCTGTCCCATCCTAAAATAAATTAGATTTCCGTATGTATTTATGTTCCTTTAATAGGTGTGCATTTAAAATTTACTTTTCCTAAGTTCTTAAAGTACAGGATTAATTTTAGTCTATGAAATAACTGAAGAATATTTAAATGCCAGCATAATAAAAAGAACAGCCTTTTTATTCCTTTTTCATGGCGATACAAAGAAGCAAAAAACGGTTTCTCCCTGAGTGTCGCTATAATTTTTTTTTCATATTAAATATTAATGTTAGAGTTTGAATATAATGCAGGAAGAGGTGATTAAAGAAACAAACTTTAAATAGTGTGAGCTGTTTATTGAAATCTACGTATTGAATCATTTTCCAGGTCTTTGTCAAAGCTAAAATAAACAAGATACAAAACAATATAGAATATTGTAAGAATTCAAAGTTTAGATTAATGATTTATAGAAATTAACATAACTATTGACTAATAGATATTAAAATAGTTATTGAGAGAGTACAATAAAAATATAGTAAGGACTTGAAAATGTAAAACAATAAAAATATAGTAAGGACTTGAAAATGTAAAACAATAATAATAAAGCAATTATAAACTAAAAAAAAAAATCTTCAAATGCAAGTAGAGTTTGTCTGTGTTTTAACCGTTTTAAGTAGACTTATAATTTTAAATTAAATTAATTTAAAGGAAGTTCTCTTTTTCAAAAAATGATGGATTATTTGAAAATTATTTTTTTTCATCCCTCAGTCAAACTGAACTATAGATACCCCACTTTTAGAAAACTATCTTCTGTAATAAGCTTTAAGCCCATATTAATTAAGTTGAAGTTTTGTTAGAGAATAACTTGTGATTCATCTATGGTAATGTAAACAAATTATATGATTTGATGTTCTGTGGAAACTTAATAAGAGATGATTAATTTAGGGTGGCCATCTTCAACAAGGTCAATGAATAAACCTTCTTCTAACCTTCCCAAGATATTTTGTTGCTCTTCTCCTCTTTAAACCATTGCAAGCATGATATGTTAAGCCTGTAGAACAAAGAATGACTGATACCATTAAACTCGAAGTTGGAAAAAAGTTACAGATTAGTGAAAAAATTATCTAGTATCAATTTTAAAAAGGTACATTCCCTACTTTGGCTTATGGTATATTATTTCTAGAAGGTGTGTTTTTGTTGCTACACTATATCTTCGTCAATTCTTCATCAGATCCAATGATTGAGCCCTCATTTTCAAGATCTCATTTAGGCCAGAGAAATTGTCCATTCTCCCGAAATCTCAAGAAAAAATTATGAAGAAAAAGAAACTTTATTTGCGAATAACTCAAAAATTACCCAATTATTTGTGGATTGTACACATCATTATTTGCAAGATTACTGAATTCCCTCCAAACTAATAAAAAAAAAAAAAAAATCATCCAAATCGATTAGAAATTTGTAAATTTGAAAAATTTGTACCGACCGAAGAAGTAAAGAAGATTCAAATATTTTTAAAGAGAAACAAAGTTGAGATTTGTATTTCGAATTTCCGAGGTTTCCGAAAAACGCTCAAATACGAATTTTCATATCAACCCAAAAAATGTTTGTTGTATCAAATTGGAACCAAGGCTCTTCTCTTGTATTTCTTTTCGAAAATCACAAAAGGTGTACTCACTTTAACTATTTCCACCTATCCACACCAAATTAGCCGGAATTCAGGGCCACATAAAATCTCATTAATTTCAGAAAAAAAATTGTGAGGATAAAAAAACTTAATTTGCGAATAACTCAAAAAGTATACATTTTTTTTGTGAATTGTATACATGATTATTAAATTCTCTGCAAGACAAATATACATATATTTATTTATTGAAATCGGACCATTATTAGCTGAGATACATTGAAATTGTATTGTAAATCCTAGACATTTTGGTTTAGAACATGAATGAAGTTTTAAAATAATTTTCTTTTCCTTGATCGATTATAATCATCGAAAAAATAGGCAATAACCGATATACTTTACGAATTATTCGCATGGGTCAAATTAATGTGAATGTTAAGAATATAATGACTATGAAAAGAGGAAGAAAGTAAACATATTACAGTCGGAGTTATATTAGTTTTTAAACTTAATTTGATTCATAAGACGTGTTTTTATTCGATTATTCTATTTAGTTCTATAATAATTTAATAACAATCATATTTCCGATGGTGGACATCTTACGCGCAATATTTCATTTTTATAATATTAGGTTTTATTAAAGTAATAAAATACACTTGAGTTTTGTCTTATCCCGGTGCAGTGAGCATTTTATAATTGGTTTAATAAGTGCTAAAGTCATCTTTGAGCATTAAGGCTACGATGAACTTTTTTCAAGCGTGAAATTAATTCCTTAGCACCTCTTGCAATTTAATTTAACATTTTAATCTGATGAAAGAATATTTTTATGCTCTAGAGGTTTTAAAACTTTTATGGGATGTATAAAATTTTCAACTTATTTATTTTGATTGAAATTTGAAAATACATTTTTGTCTTTATTTGGAAAGCTTTTAATACATAATGGTTATTGTGAGCCATATTTTGTATTAAAACTATTCCAACTATTCCAAATTTTGTAGTTGGCTGAATTATGAAGTAGTTTTGCCTTTTTTGTCGTATTAAGTTAGAGGTTTAAAAATTTGTGAATTGAGTTGGTAAGAGGAACGTCCTCAAATAGACTACTTTCTTTTCATTTTTTCTTCCATCTCCTCCGTTTTGATAAATTCTGAATTAAATGAAAAAATAAAGCACAAGAAAAAAATTGATTAATTCAATCGATTTTTAAATTGATAAAAAAAATAATAAAATGAGAGAAAATATGACGTTTGTGATGGTGTTCTGCCCCTCACGTTTTTAAAATTTTATATTTAACAATTTGATGAAATATTTGAAGTTTTAAAAGCTAAATGTTCTTTCAATTTAACTACATTAAGCCTCTAAAGAACAGTAAAATTGTCGCTTCTTGATTTAAATGTGAGAAAAACTAATATGGTTGCTTGCCTACTGTACACATATTGGTCCATTATACCGTCAATAATTTTAAGTTTACCCACGCCAGGTGCACTCGTACAGCCCCGAACCATAAGTTGCTTGACCATAACCTCCATGCTTGACCGTGGGACACAGATTTTTAGCTGCTAACACTTGATTGGGTTTCCACCAAACCCAAACTTCTTCATCAGATGAAAATAAGGTAAATTTACATTCGTTGCTGAAAAAAAAAACTCGTTCCCAAAAATAGTTAGCCTCATTCAGATTCTCTTTTGCAAACGATAAATGTTTACATTTATTTATAAACGTTAAATCTAGCAGTTCGCGTTATTTGCATTATTTTAACGTTTCGTACCGTATTTACCTAAATAAAAATAAGAAATATGTAATATTCCATTGATTTGTTAACATATCAAACTAATTTATTGTATAAACATATATATATATACATTTTTTCTCTCATGTATTATTATATTGTTTGTTTTATAATCATTATGTTAATCGCCACTCATAATTTTTATACATATGTAAAATAGTGATTTTAACTGTAAACCATGAAATATAGACAATTGAAATATCATATGGGGATACTTTATTGTATTCGTTACTCATCGCTTTGATTGTTTACTGAACAATGGATTGTTAAACAATTTCTAATTCTTTTTATTATTAAAGTTGAAGACGAATGTAGAAAAGGACCAGTGTCAAAATTTATCAATTATTTTTGGTTACTCGGCCGAAAATGTATTTAACTTTACAAGGCTACATTTAAAAAACAGTTCTTTCTATAGATTTTGTTATTAAACAGTAAATCATACAATTTCATTAACATTAAATTATTGATCTGAAATATTGCATTAATATGGTGATACGGAATATTGAAAGTAATTATTGTCTCTTGTTCAAATAAGGGGATACCTGACCGACATACGACAAGACTACAGAAAGACCTACAAGATACTTAAGGTGCGTTCAGACAAGCACCGTTGTATCATACCGTGACATGGACCCAGCACGCGACTGAGTGAGTGAACCTTCGTGACAAGATATGGTTGTGGCACATATTATTTTAAGTCATATCAGGACATCGATGCGTGTAGCGGTTCTCTTCGTTCTGCCTTTCAGTTGTTTTTAGTATTAAAGGATATTATTATCATATAAGAATTATTGTTAATTTATATATATATATA